ATTTGGAGCAAGTTTCATCACTATGTGATGGCAGCCAGCAGCTTATCTAGCAGTGCAGTAACTGTTTCAGATTGAAAGTTCAATTTTCAAGTCAAAATATTCTTGGAGAAGAGCAAGGAGATGACTCCATCCTTTTTTAGCAGGCAATATCTATTTAGCCTCTTCTAGTACAGTTTATATACTGATGATACAAAAAAGAAGAAAAACAACAGAAACAGGTTTGATTTGGAGATACTTGAGTGGCTCAAGCGAACACTGCAGATGCAGTATGGAGCATGGACATATCCAAAGCCTCTATAAAGCCCGTGGTGAAATTGATGCTATTGCCAGCAATTTACATGCAAGCATGCTTTTAAGTTGATACGGGTTGAAAGGCATGACTGCGTGATACATGTGTTAAGGAAATGTTTTGGAAATGTTTTGGAAATGAAATGAATAGAAGCCGTGAAGTCGATAATTAGATACCGCATCAAAATTAGTCAACGAACACAAAACATTACTTAAAAGAGAACATGTAAACAGAAATGATCAATCATGGCATGTACAAATGTAAGAAGACATACCTTAATTGGTTCCCAATTTGAACACCATTTGGTGGCAATCTGGTCAGAAACAGAAATAAAGGTGAATCAAATACCAGCAGCTACTAAATTCTACGATACAGTGCAACTTCTAAAATGCAATTGATTTAATATCGACAAGAATTACAATCCAAATATTAAGCAAAACATTATAAGACCAATATATGGATTTCAGCCGGCCAAAATTCTTACAGCAACCAGAGAAAGACCCCAATAATATGGCAAACAAGACACAAACAAATTACTTACCCAGACGGCTGTGAATTGGCAAATGCATTAGATGGATTTGACCAAGGAGGTGGCTCAGTCATCGGCTTCGCTTGACGCAGAAACGGATTCTCTCTCGAAACATTGGTAGAAAATATCTGTTTTCTATTCTCATGAGCCTTAATATTCTGCATTATTGAAAAGAAATAGATCAGATAAATTCTAACAAACAAACACTAATAAATAAACAACATTAGCAAAGCACAAACCTCAGTTCTAGTAGTTAAGACATCTTGAAGCCGTTTTGTAGCACCCATAAGTTTACTCTTCAAATCATCACAAACAGTTGTTGAATGAACAAATCTATCTTCTGAGTAATTCCCATCAGCTATTTCCATATTTTGAATCGTTTGCAGATCCGTTAAGGCTGCATTTAACGCCGTTATATCATTCTTTATCAGCACTGTTAGTTCTTGTATCTCCACAGTTGGATCGTTAAACATTGAGGACCGTTTTGCCACTGCCAAATAAAATTCAAGGATCAGTATAAAATTGTTACATTATGAATCAAGGAGGTCAATTCAGGGAGGGGCTTGGTTACATTGGGCGAGCCTGGAGATCTTTTGTGAGGTTTCGTGGACGCCTGACCCAATTAAGGAAGCTTTTTTGTTGAATTCGGATCTGGTAGTATAAGAGAGCAGTGGTTTTGAAGGAGAGGAATTATTTGCTTGATAAGATTTGTTTTGATGAACAGGTGCGACTCCCCCGATTTTCTTCAAGGTTTGAGTTATTGAATGAAACTCCGCCGTCCGATCTCGGTATTTTGTGGTGGTTGTGGTGGAGGAGGTCATTTTGCTTGGTCTCCGAGGTTGTTAGAGCGGCGGTTACAGGTGGAAATCAGTTGTCGGGGAGGGTTCTTACAATAAGCTACTGGGTTTGGACTTGGAAGGAGGGCTTAGGAATAAAGGATACAGGACCTGCGCCTTAGAATGGAATCAAATAGCGAAGTCTAGGAAAACAATAGTATTTTATCTTCTTACTGTATGTTTGAATCCGATTAATCCATATTTTAAAAAAATTTGAATTTTTTATTTAAAATTAATATTTTTAAATAAAATTTTTAAAAAATAAAAAATATTATTTTAATATATTTTTAAATAAAAAATACTTTAAACCCTAACTACTATTATAATTTTGAATAAATACTTATAAATTTTTATTATGGATTAATAAATTTGTGCTACACTGTTGATAGTTTTTAAAATTAAGAAAAAAATATGTTATTATTATGGATTTAATTTTAGGAATTATATTTTTTTAATTTAAAATATAAATATGATATATACATTTAACAAAATAAATTAAAAATATGTAAATAATAAATTAAAAAAATTAATTAATATTTAAATGAAATTTTCATTTTTCTTATATCACGCTAAACAGATGCATATGCAAGTATTTTATCATAATTTTTCTTTTTATTTTATATTTTTTATTTAATTTTAAATTTTATTTTAGTCCCTATACGTATAATTTTTGTTTTTATAAACATATTATACTAGTACAATTTATTTATTTAAAATTTAAAATTTAAAATAAATTTCAACGATCTCTTTAAAGTGTAAACTTATATTAATAACAATTAAAATTAAATTTTTCAATAATCATTGAATATATTTATCAGCAATTGTTTCTAGACACTCCCTAGCCAAACAATTTTAAGTTTCAAATTTTGTTTTGAATACAGAAGATAAATTGAAACTCTATCAATTTTCCAAAATATCTTCCACATCTTTTACTAAAGGATCCATTTTCGTTCTATGATAAATAATTATTTATTATGTCAATCAAAGACCTATGATTTTGGTGAAGGAACCAATTTTCCATTATTTTCGCTTCAATGCCCACAATATCAATATATATATATATATATATATATAAGGAACAAAAAACAGCAAATTCAACTGCACTGCGAAGTACCGAGGCCCAACAAGTACCAAGTAAAACCAGCCATTAGATTACACTGTAAAAAACAAATACTAACCGTCCGATCTAGTTCCCATTATAAAGGCTGGTACGGTAACTAGACTCCGGAGCCCAAGTCAGGCCCAAAGAGTAAGGAAAAGTCACAGCCATCAGATAACAATCTAAGAAACAAACACCAACCGTCCGATCTAGGTCTCCTATAAAACCCATTATAAAAACACGTTTCACCTCTCACAAGCCTATCGTCTGCTTTTAGGGTTATATTTCTTCTCTCCTTCTACTTTCTCCACCAAATACCTCAGAGGTTAAAGAGACAGCCGCGGTGTTGCTGTCCGCCTTGACAAAAGTCTAGCTTCGTGTCTTGGCCCTCATTTTTGCGTTGTTCTTTACCTTCCTCTTAGTTTTAGAAACCAAACTAGTAAAAAAATGGTGAACAAACTATCAAAGGCTGATAAGAAAATCGCTTACGATGCTAAGCTGTGCCAATTGCTGGACGAGTACAGCCAGATCTTGATTGCAGCAGCTGATAATGTGGGGTCTAACCAGCTGCAGAATATCAGGAGGGGTCTTAGAGGTGACTCTGTGGTGCTCATGGGAAAGAATACCATGATGAAGAGGTCTGTTAGGATCCATTCCGAAAAAACTGGAAACAAAGCTTTCCTCAACCTTATCCCTCTCCTCCAGGTGGGTATATAAAGATATACATGTTTTCACTCTCTTTTATCTGTGCTTGAGTCTGTGGTTTTTTTTTTTTTTTATTTCACCATTTTTATTGAATAGGGCAACGTTGGATTGATTTTCACTAAAGGTGATCTCAAGGAAGTGAGCGAGGAAGTTGCTAAGTACAAGGTGCACCAAGCTAATTCTAACTCTTCATTGTTTCGTATTATTGTTAATTTACGTTGTTAGTCACTTATTATGTTTGGTTTTTAGTCTCTTTTTTACCCTACCTTCCGCACCATCACCGAAACTGTCTAGCTATATTTTTTCGTGTTGTTAATGATATTTAGTTAGGCTTTTGCTTGTAGGCTATGTCAATGAAGTTAGGAAGTCTAACATATACTAAAACTCCCAGTTTTTCTCTAGGGTTTGTTGCGATTTAAATAAGTCTTAGCAACTTGATGGTAAAGAACCAACTTTACAATTGCTGAATTGTTGTAAGTGCTATGCAATAATGGTTTTCGTTCAAATTATACATCTGCGGCTAAGTGCATACAAGAAACAAAATGTCTTTATGAATTATAGTTTTTTGAGTCGAGAGAACCTACAAATTGTTGTCTGGTAATTGATCTTATTTCCATTTAGGTGGGTTGTGACCTTTTCTAATGCACCCCACACTTCTAATTTGTTCAAACAGGTTGGAGCGCCTGCTCGTGTTGGTCTGGTTGCACCAATTGATGTTGTTGTCCCTCCTGGCAACACAGGGCTTGACCCATCCCAGACCTCTTTCTTCCAGGTCTGTAACCTAAATCTCATTATGATTATGTTTTTGTCATCTTTTTTTTTCTTCAATTGGAATGGACTTTGGTGTGTATTTGTTCTATATTTTAACAGTTTATTTTTTCAGGTTCTTAATATCCCAACCAAGATTAACAAGGGTACAGTCGAAATTATCACCCCAGTTGAGTTGATCAAGAAGGGTGACAAGGTTGGCTCTTCTGAGGCGGCTCTGTTGGCAAAGCTTGGCATTAGGCCATTTTCTTATGGTCTGGTTGTCTTGTCTGCTTATGACAATGGCTCTGTCTTCAGCCCTGAGGTGCTGGACCTGACAGAGGATGACCTTGTTGAGAAGTTTGCTGCAGGTGTTTCAATGATCGCCTCGTTGTCTTTGGCCACCTCTTACCCGACCCTTGCTGCTGCACCACACATGTTCATCAATGCCTACAAGAATATTCTGGCTGTTGCAGTTGCAACAGAGTATTCTTATCCACAGGCAGAGAAAGTGAAAGAGTTCCTGGAGGTTTTAAATTTGTTGATTCATTGGCTGGACTGTTTACCTTAAGATTTAAATTGTGTTTATTCTTTCAGTTACTGTAAAATGTGATAATTTTTCTGTTTGGTGCAGGATCCTAGCAAGTTTGCTGTTGCTGCTGCCCCTGTCACCGCTGCTGCTTCTGGTAGTGCCCCTGCTGCTGCCAAGGAAGAGGAGAAGAAGGAAGAGCCGGCAGAAGAGTCTGATGATGACATGGGTTTCAGTCTGTTTGACTAAGTTTTATGTTGCTTTTCATCTATCCAAGAATTTAGCATGTTTTGGTGAACAGCTTTTAGCTTCCTTTATTGCTGTTTTTGTTATCCATTTCTAGGCATGTCATGAGTTTAATGTTGGTTTTTCTGTGACTAGTATTTTACTATTTTGAATGCTGTTTCTCTTGTGCGTTTTATAATGGTCGTGGCAATACCTAATTTCATCCCATCCCCCTACACTGCCTTGGAATGAAGTCCGATATTAAAATAAACCCCCCTACACCTTGGAATGAAGTCCGATATTAAAATAAAAGCTCATTAGGAAAGCACGTTAACCATATGCTGGAAGCGTTTTTGTATTCTTCACTGGAGTTGGTGCAAGTCTGGCTTTCATTTAATTGTTGTCTTGGAATTTTCCTTGATTTGTAACTCATCTTTATTTAAAAGAAATGTTTTTCTTCATCATTTTCTATCAAGGTCGCAACCTCTAAACACGGTCTTCCATAAGATCTCCGGGATTTTTCGATCCGGGAATTTTCGATTCCGAAATATGGACTCGCTGGCCTTAAGGTTTAATCAAACTGAAATCATTTGCCTAGAAAAAACAGGACAGGCTTTCAACAAATAGTGTCCTTGCTGTTAATTTCATTAGAGCCAATAGCCACGGGAGTGATGTAGGCCCGTTTTTAATACGCGCGCGTATATATATATATTTGTGTGTGTGTAAAAATGCTAAAACAATATTCAGTCTTTACTAATTTTTTCTACTTTGATTCTTTTTGAAATTTATGGTTTTTTTGTTTGCTTTTTATGATATTTTCATGGTTTTAAAATCCGTGTTATAAGTTAAAATCTGTGTTATGGATTTAGTGACCTGTTATTTTTTATAATTTAATATTTTATTATTTAATAGTTATTTTTAAATAATATAAACATAGTTTTTCTAAATAATATTTTTCCATTAGAATGTATAAATGTGTGCGTAAAAGCTATGTTTAAAAATAAATAAATTTAGTAGCATCTCTCAATGGATATGCTCAGATGGCCCACCCTTGATCCAAATCCAACATTTGGCAGCCTGTATGCAAGTCTGGAGTACAGAGCCTCGTTTGATTTTTGGAGTGTTTGTTTATAAAATTCTTTTTTATCTCTGTGCTGCTCTTTCAACTGTGAATGGCAAAGTAAATTATAAATTATTCTTTCAAGTTTTGTGAATTGAATTAAATACATCATCTAGATTAAAAAATTAATTAATTAGTTTTCTGATCATTGTTCATCATACTTAATTCAATATTACTTTCTTCTAAAGATTGTCTTCTTCTCTCATCAATTTTTTCCCTTTAAATAAAAAAATATATATTGGAAAAGAACATAAATGAATTGAAGTTATGAATAGATTTAAAAATATAAGGACTAATTAATTAATTGTTAAAACTAAAGATGTTATTTAATTTGTTTTGCAGAACTAAGACTAGTTTATTATTTTTTTTCATTGCAATGTTCCAGTATTTTTGGAACAAAAACGATATAATTTTTAACTTGTTGCAGTTGGAGCTGATTGCGTGATTCATGTTGATCTGGGGGAAAGGAGACTTCTTGGAAACATCGCACTTAAAAAAAAAAAAAACTAGCATCTTGTAAATTACTTTGAATTTGTTTTGTAAAGAGAAATATTTTGTATATGTATTTGTTTTCAGTAATGTTAAAAAACTCTAGATAGAATATGGGCGTGCTGGCTTCAATTTAGATTTAGATTTTTGTTTGATTTCGGTTGTTTTTAAAAAATTATTTTTTTATGAGAACTAAGAAGACTTTTATATTTAAGTTAATAAATATAAAAAAAAATATAACAATGCATATAGAGTGTGTATTGGATGTAGCCTATGCATGTGTTGGCTGCTGTGAATGCTTTAGTTTTCATGTAGCTGTAACTTGTGTGGCATGCTCTAGTATTTTTTTTAATTAATATAAATATCTAACTAGTTTATATATATTTTAATTAATTTTATAAATTTTAAAATTAATAAATAAATATAAATTTTTAATAATTTTAAGATTTATAAAACTCGATGATTACTAGAACATCTTGTAACATTTTTGCATAATAATTTGATTTTTTATGGCTATTTCCATGTGATCAATGATAAGGGTTTGAATTTCACTGGGTGTATTTATATATATACCTAGATCTTGATTTTTATTTGTGAAAAAAAAAAAATTTTATTAGTGGATAAATTGGTATCTTATCATTAATTAGCCATGTTATATCCTTGATTATTATGTTATGTTAGTGTAGGTATTGATGATGAATAATATTATTGGTTTAGAAAATGATGTAAAAGCATAGAAAAAATTGTAAGAAATTATATGCATAAAAAGTTTGAATATAACTTCCCAAAACTCAAAAACATAAGTAAAAAATTATGTCAAAACAAGATCGGATTGAATAGGAATAGTCTCTATATTGAACTTAAATTCCAAGCTATCTGGGCTGATCCGAAAGACCAGAAAACTTATAATTGTTTTAACTTGATTTAAAATGATTTAAAAATATATTTAAAAAAATTAAAGTACAAAAAATTAATTTTTTTTAGCTAAAAACAAATTAAAACGCCCTGAATCAATTCACTTTAAAAAAAAACTGTTCTTACACTATTTGCCCTTTATCTTATCAATCACGCTTGCTCTTTCTTTTACTTGAGTTTTATTTCAGTAGGCTGTTTCTTAGAATCATGTCCTCAGTCAAGGAACTCGTGTATGGATTTATTAACAAAGAAGGGTCACACTCCTCTAGTTGGATTTGCACTTTAAGAGCGGAGTTGTCTTTTGGATGTTCAACTGTGAAAAGAAAATGAAAGGAGAATAAAAGGAAGTGTCATCGAAGACAGATTTTTTTTATTGATTCATCCCATTATTTGTGCTAGCTAGTCCTGCTCTCGTCAAGAAAAGCGATAACGCTTCAGAGATAGCGATGATCACTAAGGCCCTAGCTAGACTCCTTAATTGACCTGCAAAGGATTTCTACATCATTGAAAATGAGTGCATGATATGATTTTGCTCCTGTAAGAGATAAGTTAGTTCTTGATGGTGCCCATCAGAACGTGTAGTGAGTGGTTGAGATGTTGCTATGCTCATGGAGCTCATTATTCATCTTATGGTTGAAAAATAAGTGTTAGTATCTGTCAATCAATCCATTCCTTGCCATGTTGAAGCTGGACTCTAGCTAGTCTAATGGTCACAATCTCACGAGCAGAAGCATGGCTAAAATCAAATCGCAAGCCTAACCAAATTGATCTTCACGGATTTCATTGTTCACATGGATAGATATGGTGCCGAAGACGGGATCTTATTTGGTTTGTCGGGTATCTCCAATTCATGAGGTCCATTTTCTAATGGGTTCTCTGACTATGCGGGGATTATTTCCATCTCTTTCAAATCTTCAATGACACAACTTCCACATTTGAAGAGGGTTTGGACTGCTACTTCCCTAACTTATAGATCAGATCAGTGTCTATGCCAGTTGGGCTGCCGTGAATAATTGAAGAATTTATTTAACCAATGCCTAAAGGACCTAGTGCAGACTCTGTTCCCCCTCTCTTTTAGGATTTAGATTGATGCAACTTGCAGAATTTTCTTTTTCAGAGAATCTATATAACCTGTTTATTTGGCAAGGTATAAGTAACTCGATTATTTGTCTACGCAGCACACTGTGTTCGTCAAAATAAGTGGCTAGTGTCTGACAGTTGGGGCACATCGCCTGTTCGATCTATGCTCGAATTCCATCACAAAAGTTGAGGATCGTCAGCTATACAGCCATTTACATGTAGGGCCGTGCTTTTATATCCTCCGGGCAATTAACGTTCAAGTATTGGGAGCGAGAAAAATGAGAACATTTCATTCAAATAAGAAACGGATCAGAGGCGATACACATCTTGTAATCAAGGGAGGGGGGTAAGCACGAGTGCAGTCTCGAGTCTCGACATGAATATCGTGTCCCGAGATCTTGTTTCCCATGTAACCTTAATCTTTGAAGTAAACAATGGCCGCAACAGTTGATTGTAATGTCTATCCACAGCTGGATCATGTAAGACCATGGCAGGCTTTGGTTTCTTTATTTGTTTGTCCAAGAAACTTTTGCTGCGTGATTATTGAAGTGATTAATTTGCGAAAACAGACGATACCCCTTTTCCTTTCTTATTTTATATATTTTGTATTTCAATTTGGTTGTGGGAGGAGATATATGGATTTGGATAAGGATGGTTCAAGAAGTCACAAGACAAGAAACGGTCAACGAAAATACCGAGTATAATTCAAAGGTATGGTCGGTCAAGAAAATAATCTACACAAGAAGAGCTTGAGAAGCAAGGGAAAATCCACACAAGAAGAGCTTGAGAAGCAAGGGAAAGAACATTTGCGATTCTTCAATTGGTTTTTGTAGAGATCATATCGTAGACGGGTGGTTAATACTTGAGAAGCCAATAAATTCTCTTTTATTTAGTATTTATTTCGACAAAATTGAGATCACCCGCTTCTTCATGCTTCATACAGATCAAATTATCAAACAAGAACAGGGTGCTCACGGAATAACTGTTGAGAAAGTTGAGATAATCATGAGCTGTACCTGGCCTGGAGTTCTGGTTGATTACCTTGAGCCACACGCACTTTATTTCTCTATTCAAGGGATATATGGATGCCAGTAACGTTACTTATCTTGATTCAATTGGGATTTGAGTGTACGGCTTCTTTGAAGCAGTGTGAAATCATTCCACTAGTTAGATGCTCGAAATCTCCATTCAGCGGGCGAAAGTGGTCGGTCACTCCACTCGTGCCACATCTGCAACATTTTTTAAGCAGTACTTTCGAGATTTTAAGATTCCTCAACCTTTCCTTTTTTCTTATCTGGCGCTGGATAAGAGAAGATTAAAAAACTGAACAGCAAGAAGTTAAAAGAAAAGGCAACAACTTGATAAATCATCCATAGCCCCGAATCATGCTTTCTTGCTAGGAAACCTGCGTGTTAGCTCACCGTTGACTGCCTTCAATGTCAAGGAAAAGAAACATACCCATAATCAGAAAATAATAATATAAACAAAGTTCAACAGACCTTTTTAGGAAAACATATAATATATATATATATATATATATATATATATATATTATTTAATTTTCCTTTGCTTTCCATAAATGCATATTCCGCGGCCCATAAACTATATTCTACTCTTCTTTAGCTAGACGTGGAAGCCAGGGAAATCCTTCACGGTACCAACTGTAAAGGCCACGTGTCGGGAAGCCAACTGCCCTGCCCGTCGCCGCTATTGTGACCCGATGTGTCCACATATATCCGACAGGTCGGGAGTAGATAACGGTGGGGGGTGCACGTGATTAGCATGCCACGTGTTGGGCTTTGGGTTCGCATTCATGTGCTTGCCCCGTGGTTAGTTGGCATTCAAAAGCGGTGCCGAGTTGGAAGCCACCATGCTGAGTCTGATT